GCCCGGGGGCAGACATCAGAGGCGGCTCTGGGTCTGGGGCCATCGTGAGGTCCCCTGTGCCACTGTGAGGGTGAGCCATGGCAGGGGGAAAGTGCCCTGCCCTCATCAGTTGTCCAGTGCAGCCCCTCCATCCAGCCCCCGGCACCCTGCCGAGACCCCCACAGGCAGGCAGCCGGTAAGTGCCAGTGGGATGGCTGCGGGCCAGCAGGGTCCAGGGCCCCAGTTCCCCTGTTTCCACCCTGTCACTGCAGGGCAGACCGAGCTGCTAGGGGCTCTGTGGGGGACCACAGACGGGGGCGACTCTCGACCCTTCGTGCCCAAGCTCCCGTCAGGCCCCGACTGCAGCAGGGGTGCAAATATCCAGGGCACAGTACCCAGGCTCCTGTAGGGGTGTCAGTCCTTCCACGCTGGCCCGCCCCTCCGCACAGTGCACCTCCCTGCTGCCTCCCTGCTGCCAGCCAGGCGTGCTTCTGTGGGGGGGGCTGAGGGAGACCTGGAACTGGGCACAGCCCAGGGAGCAGGTAGGGAAGGAGCCTCCAGGGCCCAGAGGTGGGAGGGAGATGCTCTTGTGAAACCAGAGAGTGGCAGGAGGTCACGGCCTAGGGCGGGGTCAAGGGCCGTGAGCTGTTGACAAAGCCTGGTCCTGTGGCCTCCCCCAGCGCCCCAGTGCCCCGCCAACCCCCATGGCTCTAGTACCAGAGAGGTGAAAAACAGCCCTGGCGGGCCCGGGTAGGAGGATGCAGCTAGCAGGCGGCTGAGGATCGGGGTAAACTGCAAGAAGAGGAGAGGGGACGCCGCAGAGTCCGAGCAGGCCGGCAGTGACCCAGCTCGCCGGTCAAAGTCACACTGTGGGCACAGACAGGCCTGGTGAGGTGGGACTGACGCACAGCCCCAGCCTGGGCAACACAAGGTGCCACTGCAGGGTCCTGGGCAGGGCCGGGAGAGGGGCGCGCCCAGCACCTGTGGGCGCGCCCAGCACCCGTGGGCGCATCTCCTGTGCACCCGGGGGAAGGGGCAGCTGAGGAAAAAGGGCTGCCCCCAAGCGAGCCACAGCCCCAGGACAGACAGCCCGGGGACCCCACCAACACGCCGGCCCAGGCGGCGCTCCCGGGAACCAGGGCATGGGAGGGCTGGGACCTGGAGCCTGCCGGACCCCGGTTCCGGAGCAGCTGAGCGCGTGGGTGTCCGAAGAGGGTGAGGACGGAGACACTC